CACCAGTTTATGGCAGGCCTCGCCTCTGTCAGAGCGCACCAGGGCAGCTGTGGCTACATTGTAGCTCATCATCACCAGCATGTGACTGTGTGAATGGCTGACTGTGTTGTGAAGTGCCTTGGGGGTTTGTAGAACCCTAAGAAGGCGCTATACAAATACAGGCCATTTATCATTCATCCATTCATTTTCAGCCGCTTATCGGGAGTCAGGTCACAGGGGCAGCAACTTAAACCCTAATTTATACATCTCCATCAGCTCCACGAGGGAGAGACACGCACGGACGGAGACGTTTTGCTCTCGGACTTCTCAGTCTTCTGGGGAGTTTTGAGAAGCAACTCCTCGCCAGGACAACAGAGAGCGTAGCGCTGTTCTGTGGTATCCTCTCATGTGTCCGTTCCAAGATTTACTCTTGTGTTCATATTGTGTTTTTTGTATTTAAGAGACTTTTAATTTGGACAAATTTGTCCCTCATTGTCCTCCACCTCTTCATACGCCTGCCAACTCTGAATTCACGTGTCCCATCATTTTTATCCACAAATGAAACGTTTGCTGCGCATCCTTTCACTCCTCCAGTCACGGGTGAATAAAATGTTTTTCCACGAGGTATTCTTCAAGCTGCTCCTTATCTGCTGCTAGATTCGGCCCTCTTTATGATTTTAAGAGCACAATGGCGGCGCTGTTGATGACAGCAGCATCCTGACCAATCACAAGCTTGCGTTCTCTGTCTTGTCATACGGATGTTTGGAAATAAGAGCTCGACTCCGTCTGTCCTTGCGAGGGCTCTTCAGCAGGTTCACATTGCATGTTTTTCGCTCGCCGCAGACGGAGAAGTATAAATTAGGCTTAAGCAGAAAGGCCCAGACTTCCCTCTCCACAACCACTTGGGCCAGCTCCTCCGGGGGAATACCAAGGTGTTCCCGGGCCAACCGAGAAACATAGTCCCTCCAGCATGTCCTGGGTCTTCCCTTGGGTCTCCTTCTAGTTGGCCGTGCCTGGAAAACCTCAAGGAGGTGTCCAGGAGGCATCCTGACCAGATGCCCAAGCCACCTCAACTGGCTCCTCTTGATATGGACCCCGAGATACTTCAAACTCCTTCACTTGAGCCAGGCCCTTGTCCCTGACCTAGAGAAGACGTTCTACCCTTTTCTGATTCAAGACCATGGTCTCGGACTTAGAGGAGCTTTACCAATTTTAAAACCTAACTATTCAAAAGTGTCAAACGTGAACAAATAACTTATAGCAGACTTTTAGGGAAGAGGGAAAAATATCACTGATTTTAATCTCTGAAAAAGTCAAATCTTCTGACTTTTCCTTCAAAATTCTCAGAATAAGCAATCAAGGCTTCAATTCAAAAACTTCAGTTTCTATAAACAATTGTTCCTTTAAGTGTTTGGCTTGCATTTACAGGTGAAACTGGCAAAATTAGAGTGTGATGCAAAAAGCCATTTATGGTAAATGGTCTGTATTTGATACAGCGCCTAGAACCCCCCAAGGTGCTGTACAACACAATCAGTCATTCACCCATTCACACACATATTCACATGTTGGTGGGCGGGCATCCCTGGGGCACACTGACAGAGGCGAGTCTGTCATACACCGGTCCCCCCAAGGGCCACCACCAGCAGGTGAAACTAATTTATGGATTCAATGCACAGCCAGATATTTTAGCCTTTAGCAGTAGCTCAGGTGGTAGAGCGGGTTGCCTCATGATCGGAGGGTCATGGGTTCGATTCCAGCTCCTGCCAGGGGTATCCTGCTGTTGTGTCCTTGGGCAAGACACTTCACCCAACTTGCCTGTGTTAGTGGTGGTCAGAGGGGCCGACGGCGCCAAATGGCAGCCTCGCCTCTGTCAGACCTCCCCAGGGCAGCTGTGGCTACAAGTAGCTTACCATCACTAGCAGTGTGTGAATGTGAGAGTGTGTGAAAGCGTATTTGGGTGTCTAGAAAAGTGCTATATAAGTTAGAATAGAATAGAATAGAATAGAATAATCCTTTAATAGTCCCACAAGGGGAAATTTGGTTGTGTCAGCAGCAACATCACACATATACAAACAATGCAGGACACAGAACAGAAGCACAGTTATTACCTATTTACATCATGGACAATAGTTACCAGAGCAGAGTACAATACAGTTGTTTATATAGGCGCACACATATTGTGTAAGCATAGCAGGATACTGAAGATGTTAAAATAGTTTTAAAAGTTTAAGATGATTAAAAGAGTGCAGATTGTTTATTTTTTACCCATTCATTAAAAAGTAGACATGTAGCCTTCAATAAATTATTGCATGTATAAGCTGAGAAAAAGTAATGTGTAAGTTATAATTGTAGAAGTTATTACAGCACTGATGCCGACAACTGTTTTGTTTGGGAGCAGTTCTGATTGTACAGTCTAACAGCTGCAGGGAGGAAGGACCTTCGGAAACGCTCCTTCATGCATCTAGGATGCAGCAGTCTGTCACTAAAGGAGCTCTGCAGTTCAGCAACATTTACATGCATGGGGTGGGAGACTCTGTCCATCAGAGATGTTATTTTGGCCAGAGACCTTCTGTCTCCCACCACCTGCACTGGGTCTAGGGTGCATCCTAGAACAGAGCTGGCCTTCCTGATGAGTTTATCCAACCTCTTCCTCTCAGCTGCCAATAAACTGCTGCTCCAACATACCACACTGTAAAAAATGACAGATGCTACCACAGAGTCATAGAAGCTCTTTAAAAGCGCTCCCTGTACCCCAAATGACCTCAGCCGCCTCAGCAGGTAGAGTCTGCTCTGACCCTTCCTATAAAGAGCATCCGTGTTGTGGCTCCAGTCCAGTTTATTATTCAGGTGAACACCCAGGTACCTATAAGAGTCCACTATCTCAATGCCCACTCCCTGGATGTTCACCGGTGTCACTGTGGTGGGTCTGCGTCTCCTGAAATCCACCACCAACTCCTTGGTTTTCCCGGCGTTGATCAGCAGATGGTTCTGCTGACACCAGTCCACAAAGTCCAGAGTCCCCTGTCTGTACTCTGAGTCATCCTCACCTGTGATGAGGCCAACTATGGCAGAGTCGTCAGAGAACTTCTGTAGGTGGCAGCGTGGGGAGCTGATGGAGAAGTCAGCAGTGTAGAGGGTGAAAAGGAACGGTGCCAGCACAGTTCCCTGTGGGGCCCCCGTACTGCAGACCAGCGTGTCAGAGACACAGCCCTGTGACCTCACATACTGTGGTCGTTCTGTGAGGTAGTCCAGTATCCACTGAGACATGTGGTGGTCCACTCCCGATAGCTCCAACTTATCTTTCAGAAGTCGTGGTTGGATGGTGTTGAAAGCACTGGAGAAATCAAAAAACATGATCCTCACAGTGCTTCCAGGCTTCTCCAGGTGAGTCAGAGCTCGGTGCAGAAGGTAGATGATGGCGTCCTCCACCCCAATGCCAGGCTGGTAAGCAAACTGTAGTGGATCTAATGAAGACCTCACCAGGGGACGCAGATGGTTAAGAACCAACCTCTCGAGTGTCTTCATCAGATGCGATGTGAGGGCTACCGGCCTGTAGCTGCTGAGGTCCTTGGGATGGGAGGTCTTTGGTACCGGTACCACACAGGATGTCTTCCACAGCTGTGGTACTTTCCCAAGCGATAGGCTCAGGTTGAACAGGTAACCTAGTATGCCACACAGTTCATCTGCGCAGCACCTCAGGAGCCTGGAGCTGACGCCATCTGGGCCTGCAGCCTTATGCACCTTGATCTTGCGAAGCTCGTTCCTCACTTGAAATGCTGAGATGGAGAGAGTGGGTTTTGGGGGAGGGGTGTGTATAATGGAATCCACAGAAGCCGGGGGTGGGAGTAATGACTGGGAGCTGGGAGGTGTGAAGCCGAGAGGTGTGAATTCCTGAGGTGAAGGACAGGCAGTCCCTGAAGACAAAGGAGATTGCAGCAGGGGGGACGATGCTGTGGGAGGGGTGGGTGGTTGATCAAACCTATTAAAATATTTGTTTAGGTCATTCACCCACCCCAAGTCTCCCACAGCCTGGGGGGTTGGTTTTTGTCCTGAGATTGTCTTCAGGCTGTTCCAAACCCCTCTGATGTTGTCCTGCTGTAGCTGCTCTTCCATCTTCCTCCTGTAGTTTTCCTTTCCTTGCCTTATCTTCCATTTCAGCTTCTTCTGAACAACTCTCAGCTCCTGTTTGTCCCCCGATCTAAAGACTCTCTTCTTCTCCTTGAGGAGAGCCTTAATTAGCCTTAATGAGCCTTAAGTTCAATGCATTATTATTATTATTATTATTTGCTATAACTGTGATGATTAAGGCTTACAGTTTATGAAAACTCCACATTCTAAATCTCAATTATTAGATTATTGTGAAAATTTTCAATAATCTAGACTCAAAGTGTCACATTCAATTTTTTTAACGAGTTTGAGGGCCAAACAGGGGTTGGGTGGGGTGTAGAAAGAGGAGGGCACTGCTTTAGATGGTCTCTCAGGCTAAGAAGTATTACTGACATAAACAGACTTTTGCATCATGTTCTCACGTTTCCAGTTTCACCTGTGTCCCTGTTAAATTCTATCTTATATAAATAACTTTTATGTATTCTAGCATTTTCTCCACCGTGCTTTAGCACACTAAAATATATGTAGAAACAAATAAGCTGTGTTTCTGATCTAAAACATGCAGAAACGTGCTGGAACCCAACTGCTGGCAAACCAGATGCCACAAAAAAGTGACTTACATGCACCCACACACATCAGCACATCTATACCCCGCTGGTGCTAATGTGAGGTCCGGTCCAGGGGGGTGGGCCCACGGGCCACCTATTGAGTACCACTGACTTAACTGTGGTCAAGCTTAGAGTCAGGTAAGGGATGCACTGGGACTGAAACCACTAGAGCAGCAAATGGTCCAAACTTCTCCTGATAGGACGTAACCACAATCCTTCCTGGTTCAGTCCTGGCTCTGAGTTTCACTTGGTTTATATTTAATCAATGAACACCTCCTTAATCATTAAATGTATGAAAGTGAGCACCTCATTGATGGCTAGCTGCTCTCCACCTCCTCCTGGGTGTTCATACCGATGTCCAGAACTGTGAAAGTCTTCATACAGAATGTCCTCTTTACTACAGAGTTCATCACAAAACACGGACTTCTCTGATCCTCCATCAGGGACCACCACCGCTGAAACAAGGAGAGGACAGAGACAAGATTAAAATGCATGTTTTATACAGTCAAAACTTTAAGACCACTTAAAAAATGTCCAAATATCTTATTTTGCATGGTTGGATCTTAGCATGTTCTAAGAAGAGCTTCAACATGCAGCAAGAAGAAATGAGAACGAGACAAAACATCTTGTGAGCAGCAGTTTATGGAAAACAAGGCTTGACCTGAACCAGGCTGTTTTACAGCTGATCAAAAGTTTCATATCATAAACCCCAAAAACAGAAATCAAAGTTCCAAACATCAGCTAAGTAAAGACTAGCCCCACTGTTACTGCTGATCACTTCAAGAGTGTTCGATGCAAACGTTTCCATGATTTGAGTGGGCACATTTCTCTTGTACTGAAGAAGACTGCGGGAAGAGCATCTACTGTCTGGAACTGTTGTCCATTTTTGTAAACATTCCAAGCCATCCATCCCCAAAAGTTCTCAAGAAGATTTAGATCCAGGAGAAATGTGGGATGATCCAAAAAGATTCATGGTCTGTTGTCCTGGTGAAAACCCCAGTGGTTGGCACACAGACAAGGGCCCTGAGCCATGAGGGATTCTCTCTGCAACATCTGGACATAACCACAGCTGTTTGACATACCTGCATCTTCAAACGCTTCATTTTTTCCATTAAAGTAAAAAGCAACTCAGATCATCATGGCACCTCCTCCACTGTGAAACAGAAAATCTCTTAGGTGAGATCTGTTTGTTATGCCACTAACGTTGGAAACTAGGACTATCATGGTTAAATTTCTTCTCAAAAGCTGAAAACTGAAAATGTTTTCTACCTTTCAATGTTCCATGTTTGGTGCTGGCTGCGCAGTGGTGCAGTGGTTAGAGCTGTTGCCTTGCAGTAAGAAGGTCCTTGGTTCGCTTCCCGGCCTGGGATCTTTCTGCATGGAGTTTGCATGTTCTCCCTGTGCATGTGTGGGTTCTCTCCGGGTCCTCCGGCTTCCTCCCACAGTCCAAAAACATGACTGTTAGGTTCATTGGTCTGTCTAAATTGTCCTTAGGTGTGTGTGTGTGTGTGTGTGTGTGCATGATTGTTTGTCCTGTGTGCCTCTGTGTTGCCCTGCGATGGACTGGCTCTCTGTCCAGGGTGTACCCCGCCTGATTGCCCGTTGGATGCTGGAGATAGGCACCAGCCCCCCCGCGACCCCACGTGGACAAAGCGGGTTCAGAAAATGGATGGATGGATGTTTGGTGCTCTCTTGCAAAGGCCAAATGGTCAGTTCCGTAGCATTCAAGGGGACAAAGCCTTTGAAGACATTTTTTGGTTTTGAAGCCCTTCAGTATCAGATGTTGTTTGATGGTTATAGGGCTGCAGTCGGCACCAGTAACAGCCTTCATATATATATATATATATATATATATATATATATATATATATATATATATATATATATATATGTATATATATATAATTTTTTTTTTTTGCCTTTGCCATCAGAAGTTAATTAAAGTGTGACAACCTGACAGGAAAAAAACAACAAATCCACATTGTTGCACAGATTTGGCCGTTTGAAGGCTTTTGATCAGCTGTACAAATGTATGCTCACAAAATGTTTTGTCTCACTCAAAGTTTTTCCTGTTAGATCTTGAAGCTCTACTTGGAACCTTTTTTTTTTAATTCAAGTTTTTATTGAACTTTCTTTGTGGGGCTGGTACATAACAGTCTCAATAGATACTAAACATGGAGGGACTAAACATACAGTTATAACAGTTGATTTTGAATACAAGTCCCAATCATATAACTCCTACAGACACGTAAAGTCGGAACAACAGCAGTCACATAACATGCTTGATTTCACCCAAGGCCTTTGTCTGTCTTTAAAAAGTTCCAGAATCCATCCCAGTGAGAAGTTCCCTCTCTGTTGTCTTCACTCATTTTACTGAGCATACATTCATATGATGCAGATTCGGCCATTGCACAGACCCATTCCTTAACCTCTGGAGATTCTACTGCTTTCCAGTGTCTTAAAATGACTCGACAGGCTGTTATTAACCCCACTGAGATGATTGAAAAATTACACTTATTTACATTAGGCAACTGAGATTTATCTCCCAATAAGCACAGTTCTGGGTTAAAAGGGATGTCTGTTCCACACCAATTACTTAGGATCTTGACAATACGGGTCCAAAAACATCTGATAGGCGCACATTCCCAAATACAATGCGTGAACGTCCCAATATTCATTTTGCATTTCCAACACAAATCATCATCCACTAGCTTCATTCTAAACAGTCTAGATGGTGTATAATAGTATCTGTTTAGCACATTATATTGTGTGAGTTTACTCCTCACCTCTCTTACGTGTTTACCACAGTTAACAATTGTTTTCATATATCATCATCGAACATTATGCCAAGGTCTTTCTGCCAGATCATTTTTAACTGGTTGGAATCATCACTGAGGAGAGAGTTAATGATTCTATAGAACTGCGAGGCTTTTTGTTTACTAGTTGGAAGTTTCATATACTCAGTTACTGTGTTGTCTTCAATATTATATGGCTGCGAGTGACCCCTTCCCTCTAAGTTAAACTCTTGCACTAGTTCAGCATATGACAGAAACGCCCCGTCCTTAAACAAATCTCCAATAGTATTTAATCCTTTCACTTGCCACTCTTTCCAGTAAACAGGTTTCTTCCCTATGCAGACCTTGGGATTATACCATAATGGGGAATATTTCTGCTGAGTATGTTTGAGGTTTAATAGTCTATGAACTTTGTTCCATACATCCTTTGAATGTAAAAGTACTGGATTAGTAATATTAGACCTTTGTGCTAGTATCGCTGAAGGTTGAAAAGGTAAACATATCTTTTCCTCCACCTCCATCCACCCTGGTTTATCTGTTATTGTTTGCCAATACCTTGCTATTTTTGTCATCTCAAATGCTAGATAATACAATCTCAGGTCTGGCAAACCCAGCCCTCCTTTCTCCCTATGTGCACATAATTTCCCTTAATTTCAGTCTTGGTTTTTTTCCATTCCATAAAAATGTTTTAATTACATCATCTAGTCGTCTAAAGATGGCAGGTGGAATCTTAATTGGCAACATCATTATAACATATGTAATTTGTGGGGCAACAATCATCTTTATAGTATTAATTTTTCCCATCAGACTCAATTTTAGTTTTGACCATTTATCAAGATTTGTTTTTAGCCTTTGAAGCAGGGGGTTGAAATTCAATGCTATTATTTCATCTATATCCTCAGAGAGGTTAATACCGAGATATTTCATTCCCCTACGCGTCCATTTAAATTTAAATGTTTCTACCATGGATGAAATGCGTAGCTTAGAAAGGGGCGTTGCCTCTGATTTATTCCAATTAATGGAGTACCCAGAAAGTTTAGAAAAAGATTGTATAGTATCCATTAAATGTGGTAGCGACTTTAAGGGCTCCGATAACACTGCCAAAATGTCGTCCGCATACAGCAGTAACTTATATGCATTGCCCCCTACCCTTGTTCCTTTTATTCCCTGGTGCGTTCTGATGGACACTGCTAGGACCTCCAAGAAAATAATGAATAATAAGGGGCTCAGAGAGCATCCCTGTCTATTCCCTCTAGTCAGGTTGAAGAAAGGGGAGACTTTCCCATTTGTCATCACCGCAGCCTTAGGTTCCTTATATAACATTGTAATCCATTTTATAAAATCAGCAGTGAAACCAAAATGCCCTAGAGTGGAGAGCAAAAATTGCCACTCCACCCTATCAAACGCCTTTTCAGCGTCCAAAGATAGAGCAGCAATAGGAATATCTCGGGATTGACTGATCCACATCAGATGTAGTAGGAGTCTAACATTGTCTGTCGATGTTCTATTTTTCATAAACCCAACTTGATTAGGATGTATGATATTTGGTAATACCTGTTGTAAACGTGTCGCCAGTATCTTTGTAAGAATTTTGCAGTCAAGGTTGAGCAAACTAATGGGTCTATAACTTGAAGGGTCAGTTGGATCTTTACCTGGTTTGGGGATTAGTGATATTGTTGCCAGTCCCCACATGCCAAAGACAGTGGCAAGAAACAGAGTCAACAGGTGGGCCACAGAGATAAGTTTGGACCCACACTGAAACACACTGAACTGACTTATGCGAGTAAAATCAGCCAGAAGACAGGAGCCCAACTGCACAACAAGCATCCAAGCTGAGGGTCACAGGGACAAGAGGACAGAACTGGGCAAAAGGTCAGGAAGCAGGCTGGCTCCACCTCTGGCGGGAAAGACGGGACTGGAACAGAGTGAAAAACAGCTCATCGGATCAAGAAGCCCTCTCAGGAATGCTGAAGGGAAACTGCAGATTTGCTACAAACATGGTGATTAATGATCTGTGTTAAGCTAAAAAGTGTGTATCTGGTAAATGACCCCATGACCTTACTGTCATGAGGTAATGATTTTACCTTGTCTAAGCTGACCCAAGGAGGGTATAAAAGAGCAGCTCTGACCAGAGCTGGGATACAACAGTTGGGGCATACGACAGCAAGAGACAGAGCAGAGCTGGGGGAGAAGAGGTCGGCCTCCGTCCAGAGGACGGAGGCTGACAAAGAGACGAAGTTTTTGGGGCAGTCAACAGAGACAGAAGGAGCCGTAGCTCAAAGACAGAGTTGGTGTAAATCAACTCCAAAATTCTTAATTAATCATTAGGACTAATTTCTCCTTGGGGGAAGTGGTTAGTTTTATATTTACTCATTTTTGTATTTTTTAATCTTGTAATAATCTTGTAATAAACTTGCTTTAGTAAATCCTTACTTTGGTTAAATAAATCAGTTGTTGAACCCCCACTCCTCTGTTTGGTCTCCTTTCTTATTACAGCCCACCACTTCCAGTCTGGGTTGTAACAATCTGCAGACAGATTTCTGAGTATCTCCTCCTTTGGTATACAGATCCTCACTGAGCCAAGTACTGTGAACAAATAGTTTCTCCGTGATATTATCCAGCAAGGTCTTGTTTTTGTCAAAACAAGGGTGAGGTAATGA